TATATACCAACTCTATGGTATGATGAAAGAAATCATTATGTACTACAAACATGTACTAATTAAAATTAAAAATTTGGAAAACATAAAGCATAAAGCAATTCCCAAAAAACCACCAGTGCCTCTATTGCTGCAGCAAGTATAGCGCTAAAGCTTTTTTCACCAAAGCATCTCAATGTCATTATGCTTCAGCATGAAATTTGGTGACTGCATCAATGTGCTGAATTATGAGTGCGATTCAGTTGGTTTCAGCCTTTATCCACTCATGTGCTTTTCCTTAAAAAATAAAGTAAAGCAGTTAATTGCTGCATTTTATGAGTAGTCATTTATTCCCTTTTTGATTTTCATGATACACATGCTAACCATGGCAAATGTAGGAGTTCCTCCAACACACTCTTATCCAAGGGGTGGCCTTTCCTATTTCTAGTACTGCACAGATTTAGCAGCATAGGAGAAAGGATGAGTTACAAACAGCCCCTGGAGTTATGTCTTAAAATCATGTCCTAAAAGTTTTCATACACTTCTATACACACAACCACCTTCAAATCAAAGCACGAATTCCTGATCCCTTGCTTACTGATGTCAATGCATTCAAAATTTAAACTCACAATAAATGAACAGGAGTGTGTTAGTTACTCTTCTTGAGTTGCGGTGAAAATTTTCCCTAAAGTTAAAGGATAAAGGATTTATTTAGCTCAGTATTTTTGTTGTTTATTTGTTTGTTTTTTTACTGGGCTTTCTCGAGTTTTCCTATTTGGAGTCATCCCATTACTGATTATTTCTAGATTTTAAGAATGCTTATTGAGGTTGGAAGAAGCCATATTTTAACATGGAGGCTGCTATTCCAGGTGGCAGCCATTTTAAGGCAAGGGAAATCTAATAGCTGGTTTAGTGGTTTTCTGAAGTGACGAGGACAGTGCTCCATTTGCACATGGATGAGATCACCCTGGGTTTACAGTGAAGCTAAATCCAATGACGGGTGTCCCTGTAAGAGGGAGATGTGAAACACAGAAACACAGGAGGATGAGCAGGCCCCGGAGGACAGGGCGGACATGAAGTAGCCTCGAGCCAAGGGAGGCTGAGGCCATCAGAGGCTCCTTCTGATCCTCAGAGAGCAAGTGTCCCTGCCATCACCTTAATTCCAGACCTGTGGCCTCCAGAAAGGCTCCCGACCCAGAAGCCATCGCTCAAGCGCCGGGAAGGTAGCCACGTGGGCGCCCCTGAACCCCCACAAGCCCCCCCCACTGCACTCTCAGACCTCCTGACCGTGCAAGTCTTTGGACCCACTCTGCAAAGACAGAGGTGGTCATCAAGGGTATTTTCTGAGTTCCCAACTTTGAACATCTTTAAAGAAAGGGCAGGGGAAACCTGTAATAGAACATTGCGGAGTTCAACCATTCAGAAGGATGGGGAACTTAATCTGGGCCTTGCAGCCCGAGGTCAGTCAGCTTCATGGGGTTCAGCAATCAGCTAACTGAGAT